TACAGTAACGTGAGTAGTTGTAATTCGTTACCTCCACCACTGCTCATACAGGGGAAAGGGCAAATGAGATTTGATGGATGAAACCATCAGGAAAACCAGAGAATGAAGCTATGAAAAGAGTCAGTTAACCACCAGAGTAAAAACATCACCGCCGTTTTAGAACAGGGTCAACATTCTAAACCTCTGTTTCGTTTAGTTAAATGTACAATACTTGCATTCCCTTGGCCTGGAACGAGCGTACGGATGCAGTCTCGGATGAAAGTCTTGATGATGGTTTGGAGGTTCGGTGGTGTAGGAGTCGCGATCACCTTCTTCCGGGTTTGAAGAGTGATGAACCCCAAAGAGGTTCTGATGGTGATTGGGAGTTTCTTCCCAGTGGAAAGTGAAAAAGAGCTAAGGGAGACATCAGCTGAGATTCTAGGATCTTTGGTGAATGGAAAGTCAAGGCCCGAAGCCTGGCGCAGACTTAGGGTGTCCTTAGAGGGGTGCTAGCTCACATCCTCATCTTCTCAGAATCTAACAGAACCGCAGACTGACTGGCTATGTGTTGGAGCCCACCGGGCATGCCCGCATCAGCTCAGGCTCTCCACACGAGCCGCGATCAGAAGGTTTTAGCAGAAGACTTAGCAGAAGAAAACAACAATATGGGCGGAACTGTGCGTGAGCCTTTTTAAGGTCTGAGAAGATTCACGCCTCTTAGGATGGGCTTGTCCAATGAGAAAGGCTGAAATTCCAAGCGGGAGGTTGGAAATACTGGGGAGTTGTATGACCCTTTGTGTGAGAGCATGGTAATTTGCATATGGAACTTGAATCAAAATTACTAAAGATTCTTAGAACACTAATATATTGCCTATGTACCCACATATAATATAAACGCTCATTTAGATCATCAGAAGACAAATTCAAAGAGACCAAACATGGTATCGGTGGGGCTATATTAACTAGTGATCTATCATAACACACACAAAACAGTATACAATTCAAAAGACAATATACAAGAACAGCAATGGTATACACAATGTCCTGAGGAGATGTGTGTTCATTCACAGAAAGGTTTTCCTATGAATTAATTAGAGAAGAGTCCATTTTGCTG